TCCAAATGCATAAATTTATTTAAAATGAATAAATATAGGCCATAAATGCATAGTTTTGTCAACTTTGATATTACGTTCTTCATATATAAGTATATACATAGTTATGAGTTTACTGATGAAACATTCATCAGAAATATTACTTCCTAATATCTTTTATATGAAGAACATAATATCATAATAAGTTGACAAAAACTGTGCATATACGGCATATATTCAATCATTGTACATAAATTTGAACAAATTAGAATGAATGACCAAATTTGCTGGGGCATTTTGTATCTGGGGCAGTTCGACTGGTACACATGAGATATATTTTATCAAAATCAGTAAGAGATTTCACATGAGCTTGAAAATGTTTCGCTATAACGTTCTTTTCGGTTTGGAGCCCTAAATGATGCAGTCAACTTGAAACATTGCCGAATACAACGTCAAATCATGAAGTACTTGTTGCTTTTCATTGTTTTCCATTTTGTCCAATTACGCACATCGGCATCAGACTCGCTATTTGTCAGTAGTGTGTGCCGTGAAAGTTGTTCTGTATTCTCATTGGCTGAAAGGATGTCATTCTAAGGCTATGACCAAGAACCATAACTATTTCCATAACCAAACAATGGGGAAACATACGTTCTCTGCTCGACCAGGCTGGGATGTTGTATAGAGACTTGATGCGTTATTAATGAGGACTAGGATCCTAATTTTTTTCAACAAAATAATTCCAGTGTAATTTTTTAAGCAGATAATTTTTATTTTCCCTCGTCTGAAGCATAATTATTTTGTATGTATATCCCAGACATCCTACAGTCACCCATTTGACACAAAATGAACTGTAATCACATTTATTTATTTTTATAATTCTTAGTGACTGGTCATATATTTATAGGGGTGAGTTTACTGGCTGGAACTGTATGACATTTTGCTGACAAATAGTAATCGTGTTAAATTATATGGTCTATTTTTAAATTTATTTTGACTTCAAGCGGTGCCTCCGTTTCGCTTGATTCTTCTTCTTCATCTTCACTGGAAGATTGTCTTGCAAGATGTAAAACCGGATCGTATTGATACGGTCTAACATCCATTTCAGAAATGACATCAGGAACATCTTTTACTGCTTCAGAATCCACGGACACTGTTAAGTTGTGAGGTAAAATCAAAGAGGAAGCCATCAGCAATAGGCACTTATGACGTCATGTCACGTGATACCCCCTCGGCTCATTAACTGTCGGGTGTTTCCGTAATAGGCGGAAATACGAGTACGTTTTTGTGTTTTTATTGCTATTTTACAAACTTTTTGTTCAATTTTAATTACGGAATGAGACTTTTAGAACATCCTTTACAATATATCAAAAGTTTTGTTTTCGTTCGTATTCTCCTTTAACAATTGACAGTTTCTTTCAACAGCGGATGAGACGGTCTTCTCAGCCCCCAGCCGTAACGGGTCGTCGACCGCGACTGTCAAAGAAGACGTCAGCATCGGGACGGTTGTATATAAAATCGTAATCACACCTATGTCCGACACTGTCTTGGCAACAAACACACCCTTCTTCGAGCTGAATGGAAATGAACTGGTTACATCATCCCAGCTGGACTTTGAAACAGAAAGGATTTTCTTCCTACATTTCAGGTATTCAAAAAATGTGATGGTGTAAAATATTAGAACTGGGCCGCGAGTAGAATGTTGTTGAGTGTCGTGCAAATAAATAAAACGCTTTTCATAATCAGAAGACTGTCTGCATAATCATATCTATGACAAACAGCCAAACAGCCAAACAGTCAAACAGTCAAACAGTCAAACAGCCAAACAGTCAAACAGCCAAACAGCCAAACAGTCAAACAGTCAAACAGTCAAACAGCCAAACAGCCAAACAGTCAAACAGTCAAACAGCCAAACAGCCAAACAGTCAAACAGCCAAACAGCCAAACAGTCAAACAGCCAAACAGCCAAACAGTCAAACAGTCAAACAGCCAAACAGTCAAACAGCCAAACAGTCAAACAGTCAAACAGCCAAACAGTCAAACAGCCAAACAGTCAAACAGTCAAACAGTCAAACAGCCAAACAGTCAAACAGTCAAACAGCCAAACAGTCAAACAGCCAAACAGTCAAACAGCCAAACAGTCAAACAGTCAAACAGTCAAACAGTCAAACAGCCAAACAGTCATGGTCTCACCAGTCTACCCTGCCCAACACACAAAGGCATGTCAAGTGTTCAGTGGTTCGAAATAGCGATGTCTATACAGTTTGGCCCTCACATCAATTAGGTTTCATATTGCAATGAATGCATGTAAAGTTACAACTAGGTAGGTCGTACAACAGCCATATAGCTAGGTATATCACAGGACAATGAGACTTGAAAACAAGCGAAGACATGTGCATGTATGATCAAATTAGTCTGCATTAAATTGTTATAATTAAGTTGAAACAAATGGACTTGAAAACCAAAACGTCTTGAAATAGGAAAAGGTTATTAAAAACGATCTTTAAGAGAGTTATAGTTACCGCTCATTTACACGAAGCACAGGGCCAGTTAGTGACTGTTGGAGACTGTAAATAGGGTGAGTGAGTATGGTTTAACGCCGCTGTTAGCAATATTCCAGCAATATCACGACGGAGAACAAGAGAAGTGGGCTTCACACATTGTACCCATGTGGGGGATCGAACCCGGGTCTTCGGCGTGACAAGCCAACGCGACAGAACTATTTTCGTAGAATTTTGTGGAATGTTTGGAAAGCTAGATTTGCATTTGTTAGGTTTTTCCCCCTCGAATAGATTGTTGAGAGAGGGTGTGCAAGTTATCCGTCAAGACTTGGATTTGGAGAATCTACCGCTCCTCTGTGTGAAGGTGTTCTGGCAAGTAACAGTCACTCGTTCGTCCAATGGAAGAGCGGTATATTGTGCAAAGGTCACAAAACACAATGAGTCAAGGGAGACAGAAAGTATTGCTCCTTAACCATCTGAATGCTGATTCGGTGCACAGGGTGAATATATACCCTACTCCTGTGTGTGTGTGTGTGTGTGTGTGTGTGTGTGTCTGTGTGTGTGCGTGTGTGTGTGTGTGTGTGTGTCTGTCTGTGTGTGTGTGTCTCTGTGTGTCTCTGTGTGTGTGTCTCTGTGTGTCTCTGTGTGTGTGTGTCTGTGTGTGTGTGTCTGTGTGTATGTGTGTCTGTGTGTGTGTGTGTGTCTGTGTGTGTGTCTCTGTCTGTGCGTGTGTCTGTGTGTGTGTCTGCGTGTGTGTCTGTGTGTGTGTCTGTGTGTGTGTGTGTCTGTGTGTGTGTGTCTGTGTGTGTCTTTCTCTGTGTGTGTGTGTCTGTGTGTGTGTGTGTGTGTGTGTGTGTGTCTGTGTGTGTGTGTGTGTGTGTGTGTGTGTGTGTGTGTGTGTGTCCTGTGTGTCTGTAGTGTGTGTGTCTGTGTGTCTGTGTGTCTCTGTGTGTATGTGTGTCTCTCTGTGTGTGTGTGTCTCTGTGTGTCTCTGTGTGTGTGTGTGTGTGTCTGTGTGTGTGTGTCTGTGTCTGTGTGTGTGTGTGTCTTGTGTGTGTGTGTGTCTCTGTGTGTATATATGTAGTGAGAGTCTGAGGAGAGAGAGAGAGGGAGAGGGGAGAGAGAGAGAGAGAGAGAGGGAGGGAGAGGAGAGAGAGAGGGGAGAGAGAGAGTGGAGAGAGAGAGAGGGAGAGAGAGAGAGAGAGAGGAGAGAGAGAGGGGGAGAGAGGAGGGGAGAGAGAGAGAGAGAAAGAGAGAGGGGGGAGAGAGAGAGAGGGAGAGGAGAGAGAGAGAGAGAGAGAGGGGGAGAGAGGGAGAACATCTTTACGCAAGGCAAGGTGGGAGAATGTACGTACATAACACCATAATGCCAGAGCCTAGAAGATGTAGGTGGGTGGGTGTTAATGTAGGAAGCTAACTATATCATAGATATAACAATATAGAGATGAGTAAATTATTTAATAAGATATTAAAGTAAAGACGAAGCCAAAGCGATTAACGGTATAACAATGTAAGACGAAGCCAGTGATTATAGCACAATGGAGTACATAGAGAATACTACACTCGAAGGTGTACCATAGGAAGGTCACGAGTTTCGTATAATTCGTATGTAATGAGACCGAGTATGGTATTTATTTATTACCCACATGCATTAAATTGACAAAATAGCGTAGTTTTTTGTTATTTTTATGGTTTCAAACCGAAACCGGTTTCATAAAGAGGTTGCGGAAGAGTTTTGTACTGTAGTACATTATTTGCATGACGTCACACTGTAATGACGTCACAGCTGTGGTAACGGACGTCACGATGCATGTCAGTTGTCATCGCCTCGTACAGCCTCCTACAGTAAACTACTCCGTAGCACCCCGTTTCTTGGTTTGCAGTTGCTTCATTCGGCTAAGATCACTGGTGGAAACATTGCGTTGATGTTTTTCGACTGATATAAAGTCTCAGTTCGACTCACAATTAAACAGCGACACGGCAAACGTTCGCAATGTTGACATTCCCACAATGCATTTAAGTTGTAGAATGAATGAATTCACGTGTTTGTTATGAATGAAAAAATAGTTACGTCAGAATGTGACCTAATTGAGAGGTCATCGGTTATCCAATCAAATCGTTAGAATCTCAGGTCAAGTCGTTACGACACAGGTCAACGCGATACGACACTCGTGTGAAGTGGGTAATAAACACTGGGAAGGTAGATGCCTTCGATGCTTTCCTGAAGTTTTCTCTTCCAGTGTTGGTATGGAGAATCTTGGTTGGTGCCAGGAAATATGGTTGTCGGGATTTATTATGAGGTGTTCTGAAGAGGCACATCATCTGGGGTTTGGGATGGGCTGGGTAGGACATTTTACCATTGGTTTGTAACATCTCGTGTTCGAGCTGAAGTGAAAGTAACGTCTATTTTGGCAGTTCTAGTGAGCAGTCTGCTGATCTGGTGACTGGTTCGACCTTTGTCTGCTGACGAGGATGCGTGTTGGGGTTGGTTTGGGCTTGGGGCAGGGTCGTTTTGCTAGAAACCAAATGTTTAGGGTCTATCTTGAGGGCGATAAAGGTGTGTTTGAGGTGATGGATGTCTTTGCTGAGGCTGTCCGACTGCAGATGGCAATGGCTCGTCAGGTGAGGGTGGCAATGGTAGCTTGTTTGATCTGAGGGTGGTGACAGGTAGTGAATAAACTGGTCCGTGTGAGTAGGTTTGCGGTAGACGGAGGTGTGGATGTTGTCTTGACTGTTGTCGAGTTGTACATCGAGGAAGGCTAATTGGTGGTGGTTTTCTGTTTCAAAAGTGAATTTGATTCTGTGGTGGTTTAGGCTGAGGTGGTCCAGTAGGGCTTCGGGGTCTGGTTTTGTTTTGTCTGGGATGGTGAAGGTGTCATCGTATTTTCTGTGAAACAGGGGTTTGAAAGGGTGGAGATGTAAACGCGCCGATATACCAGTAGTGACACCAGATAACATGGCACGCCACTGTAAACGGGTGTTAACAGTCACGATCACTACATTGTACCAACAGCAGGCCACCAGTTAGCAACACTCACTAAATAGTCCCAACAGCAGGTCACCAGTTAGCAACACTCACTAAATAGTCCCAACAGCAGGTCACCAGTTAGCAACACTCACTAAATAGTCCCAACAGCAGGTCACCAGTTAGCAACACTCACTAAATAGTCCCAACAGCAGGTCACCAGTTAGCAACACTCACTAAATAGTCCCAAGAGAATGTTACTGACACCTAAGTAGCCCTGACACAAAACCTTTACCCCCGTATATCTATACTCTCCCCAAAGAGAAATGCATATAGGAATTTCAACTGTATTTTTATGTTTATTTTGAAACATCTTGTAGGCTTTATGAGTCAATGAAATATAGCGAAATTGCACACTGGGAATGCAGACTTAACCGTCTTTGGCACCAACTCGAGGAAAGTCAGTTTGATTGTCACATGGAGACGTGTGGTGGCGCTGAAGTCAATACCTCGTGTGACCACCGTGGGCATCCAGAACTGCACGGCATCGCCTCGGCATCAAACGAATAAGTCTCAGAATCTCGTGTTGCCCAATCGCAGCCCACTCTGCCTGTAGTGCCTGTGCGAGTTGCTGAAGTGTCTGGGGCTGAGGGTTACGGCGTCGCACTCGTCTGTCCAGGGCATCCCACAGATGTTCGATCGGGTTTAAGTCCGGTGATCTTGAGGGCCAGGGGAGCACATTGATGTTGTGGTTCTGGAGAAAGTCTCTAGTGTGACGTGCTGTGTGGGGCCTGGCATTGTCCTGTTGAAACAACTCCCTCTGGCGATCAATGATTGGAAGGAGGTGTGGGCGTAGGATTTCGTCACAGTACCGTTGAGCTGTCAGGTTGCCCTGGATCATCACCAAATAACTTCTCCTACGGCAGGTGATCGCTCCCCACATCATAACACTGTCCCGGCCATATCTGTCCACCTGGGGAACGCAAGCGTCGGCGAAACGTTCACGTCGACGTCTGTACACCCGCATTCTTCCATCGCGTCGTTCCAATACAAATCGTGATTCATCACTGAACCAGATTCTACGCCAATTCGGTAGGTTCCAGGCCTGAACGTTGGTGCACCATTGAACTTGATGTCGACGATGTTGTTGTCGAAGCATAGGGCCAAAATAAGGTCTTCTGGCGCGTAAACCAGCCTCTCTCAACCTTTTCCTGTGCAGAAAGCCTCCTCAATCCGGGTATTTGTCGAGCGGTACTGGTCGCCGTAGCTGTTCGATGACGCAGGTGATGTACCCGGATGTAGCGATCCTGCGCCGCAGTGGTCGCTCGAGGTCGCCCACTACGAGGGGCATCTGCTACCGCATTCTGCCGGCGATATCTCTCCCAGAGCCGTGAAATTGTGCTTTGGTGAACATTCATGCGTCGGGCAACTGCACGTTGAGACTGACCAGCTTCAAGCAAACCAATGGCGATATGACGGTTGGCTTCACTTAGACGTGGCATTTTGCGTTCGTCAACAATATTCCAAATACAGTGAATAATCGACAGACAGCGATCAACCTTTTATAGCCATCATTGAGACTATCTGATCCCCAACTTTCACGTGCATTGCATGTGAATTGTGTATTCTGTGACACTACACGCCGAAATTGAAAATCATGCTGTTAAATACGGGTATTTTACGGATGGTGCGTTTTGTTGTGATGTTTCAAAACATAAACACCATAGGACTCATAAACAGAGCAAAACCTTTTGTAAAATGAATCACGTTTTAATTCATTGCTATTTTCGTTATGCGTTTCTTTTTTGGGGAGAGTATATATTCCCCGTTATGTTGGCAGATCTACATTGATCCTAGTCAAATAGTATTAAAGTATTTGTTGTTGTTGTTTCTCTTTCAGGGCAGTAGAACTGGACGTCAACTTGACCTTGACTTTACTGATCGAGGATGTGAATGACGAGACCCCGGATGTCGTCCTTGGGGAAAGCGTCCATATACCGGAGGAACTTCCGGTGGGCTTCATCATAGGTGGAGTGTTCACTGCCACGGACAGGGACGCCAACGATAATCTGACTTACAGTCTAGAAGGTGATATATAAAGGAACATACACTGTGGTTTCATCCCTGATTGGATGACAAATTAAACTTGTTTTGTTCATGTCATGTCCTTAAATAATTGCAAATGCTCTAAAAGCCATTAGCATATATACTAAGTCACTTAGCTTTTGATGACCCTACTGCCCACTATAAGGTATCAGTTAGCTACTGATGACCCTGCTGTCTCCTAAAACAGATCCTGCAGCTACTGATGACCTTGCTGTCTACTATAACATACCCGTTAGCTACTGATGACCCTGCTGTCTACTAAAACATACCAGTTAGCTACTGATGACCTTGCTGTCTACTATAACATACCCGTTAGCTACTGATGACCCTTCTGTCTCCTAAAACAGATCATGCAGCTACTGATGACCTTGCTGTCTACTATAACATACCCGTTAGCTACTGATGACCCTTCTGTCTCCTAAAACAGATCATGCAGCTACTGATGACCTTGCTGTCTACTATAACATACCCGTTAGCTACTGATGACCTTGCTGTCTACTATAACATACCCGTCAGCTACTGATGACCTTGCTGTCTACTATAACATACCCGTTAGCTACTGATGACCTTGCTGTCTACTATAACATACCCGTTAGCTACTGATGACCCTGCTGTCTACTATAACATACCCGTTAGCTACTGATGACCCTTCTGTCTCCTAAAACAGATCATGCAGCTACTGATGACCTTGCTGTCTACTATAACATACCCGTTAGCTACTGATGACCTTGCTGTCTACTATAACATACCCGTTAGCTACTGATGACCTTGCTGTCTACTATAACATACCCGTTAGCTACTGATGACCCTGCTGTCCACTATAACATACCTGTTAGCTACTGATGACCCTCCTGTCTACTATAACATACGCGTTAGCTACTGATGACCCTGCTGTCCACTACAACATACCTGTTAGCTACTGATGACCCTGCTGTCTACTATAACATACCCGTTAGCTACTGATGACCCTTCTGTCTTCTGTAACAGACCATTTAGCTACTGATGACCCTGCTGTCTACTATAACATACCCGTTAGCTACTGATGACCCTGCTGTCTACTATAACATACCCGTTAGCTACTGATGACCCTGCTGTCTACTATAACATACCCGTTAGCTACTGATGACCCTGCTGTCTACTATAACATACCCGTTAGCTACTGATGACCCTGCTGTCTACTATAACATACCCGTTAGCTACTGATGACCCTGCTGTCTACTATAACATACCCGTTAGCTACTGATGACCTTGCTGTCTACTATAACATACCCGTTAGCTACTGATGACCCTGCTGTCTACTATAACATACCCGTTAGCTACTGATGACCCTGCTGTCTACTATAACATACCCGTTAGCTACTGATGACCTTGCTGTCTACTATAACAGCTACCGTTAGCTACTGATGACCCTGCTGTCTACTATAACATACCTGTTAGCTACTGATGACCCTGCTGTCTACTATAACATACCCGTTAGCTACTGATGACCCTGCTGTCTACTATAACATACCCGTTAGCTACTGATGACCCTGCTGTCTACTATAACTGACCATTTGGCTACTGATGACCCTGTTGTCTACTGTAACTGACCATTTAGCTACTGATGACCCTGTTGTCTACTGTAACTGACCCGTTAGCTACTGATGACCCTGTTGTCTACTGTAACTGACCATTTAGATACTGATGACCCTGTTGTCTACAACAACGGATCATTTAGCTACTGATGACCCTGTTGTCTACTGTAACTGACCATTTAGCTACTGATGACCCTGTTGTCTACTGTAACTGACCATTTAGCTACTGATGACCCTGCTGTCTACTATAACATACCCGTTAGCTACTGATGACCCTTCTGTCTCCTAAAACAGATCATGCAGCTACTGATGACCTTGCTGTCTACTATAACATACCCGTTAGCTACTGATGACCCTTCTGTCTCCTAAAACAGATCATGCAGCTACTGATGACCTTGCTGTCTACTATAACATACCCGTTAGCTACTGATGACCATGCTGTCTACTATAACATACCCGTTAGCTACTGATGACTATGCTGTCTACTATAACATACCCGTTAGCTACTGATGACCCTGCTGTCTACTATAACATACCCGTTAGCTACTGATGACCTTGCTGTCTACTATAACATACCCGTTAGCTACTGATGACCTTGCTGTCTACTATAACATACCCGTTAGCTACTGATGACCTTGCTGTCTACTATAACATACCCGTTAGCTACTGATGACCTTGCTGTCCACTATAACATACCCGTTAGCTACTGATGACTCTGTTGTCTACTATAACATACCCGTTAGCTACTGATGACCCTGCTGTCTACTATAACATACCCGTTAGCTACTGATGACCCTGCTGTCTACTTTAACATATCCTTTAGCTACTGATGACCCTGTTGTCTACTATAACATACCCGTTAGCTACATATGACCCTGCTGTCTACTGTAACTGACCCGTTGGGCTACTGATGACCCTGCTGTCTAATGTAACTGACCATTTAGCTACTGATGACCCTGTTGTCTACTGTAACTGACCATTTAGCTACTGATGACCCTGTTGTCTACTGTAACTGACCCGTTAGCTACTGATGACCCTGTTGTCTACTGTAACTGACCATTTAGATACTGATGACCCTGTTGTCTACAACAACGGATCATTTAGCTACTGATGACCCTGTTGTCTACTGTAACTGACCATTTAGCTACTGATGACCCTGTTGTCTACTGTAACTGACCATTTAGCTACTGATGACCCTGTTGTCGAATGTAACGTGTCGCCAGTTTCCCGCTAGACGAGTTATCAAGCTACTTATTCCCTAGATGCCCAATGTAACGTGTCACCCAGTTTCCCGCTAGACGAGTTATCAAGCTACTTATTCCCTGGATGCCCAATGTAACGTGTCACCCAGTTTCCCGCTAGACGAGTTATCAAGCTACTTATTCCCTGGATGCCCAATGTAACATGTCCCCCAGTTTCCCGCTAGACGAGTTATCAAGCTACTTATTCCCTAGGTGCCCAATATAACGTGTCCCTTAGCTGTTTTAGTACGTCTCACAAACCTTACCGGTTTTTGTAAGTTACAACAATATCGGTTGAATTATGAACAATGAATTTGAAAAATATTTAAAAAGATATTTAACGATCCTTATTCTGGCATTTGGCTTGAAAAACAAAAAGTGATGTTCTTTAGCAGTATTAAATAATAAATATATACCATTCCTGGATTCAGCTTCATCAGTTATAAACTACCGGGCAAAATAAAGTTATCGCTTTGAAAGTAATTGTATAAAAAACAAAAACGCTGGTAGAGGCTTGAACCCAAGCTGAAAACATTCGCCAACACGCAACAGGGTCCCGATAACAACCAACTCTACGAATCCTTCATTTTTCAAGCCGTGCAAAACACAATTGTGGGACATTACACAGTACCGATGTTTATGGCACAGTACCGATGTTGGAAAGAACAAGCATGCAGTGACCACAAAACACAACGAATATGCCAAGACGCAAACAACGAGACAGGGCGATCGGTATGGGCAATATGGGGGCTTCACAAAGTCAGCTGGTAAGAACCTTCAACTGCAGCAGGCTACCATCAGGAAACTGATAAACCGCTACCAGCAAGAAGGCCAGACCCAAATCCGCCCAAGATCGGGAAGATCAAGAGTCACGACACCGGCCGAAGACCGATACATCCGTCAGATTCACCTACGGAACAGATTTGTGACGGCGACGTCAACGGCGGCGACAGCACCAAGACACGTCATCAGCAGACAACCAGTCCTTCGAACACATACGACTGCAGACTGCAATGGGCACGAACTGTACGTCGGTGGCAGCGACAGCGTCTAGGAGAGAGTGCTCTTTACAGATGAAAGTCGTTTCAGTCCGTTCAGAAACGATGGCAGAGTTCGAGTTTTTCGACGTAAAGGAGAGCGACTTGTGCCAAACTGCGCTCAAGGGGAGGCGTCTTGGTATTGGGCGGTATTTGTGACCACTGTACGAGACTGGTTATCATCCGAGGAAATCTGAATGCCCAGCGATACAAGGATACAACGCAAGGCCTCATACCGTCAGAATTATTCGAGAATACCTGCGCAACGTTAACGTCTACGTATTGGCCTGTGCGTCCCCCAGATCTGGAGGATCAACTTGATCGTCAGCTGAGACAGCGTTCACCACCTCCAGCGAACCGGCAGGAATTTGGACAGACTCTCTCAGGATTCTTGCCGACTGTGTATGATGGCGTGTATGGCTGCCCAGTGTGGTCACACTCGTTACTGATGACGCGTCCATTGACTCCTGTCTTATTGTGTGACTCTGCGCTTTTTGAATGTATTTGTGTATTTTGTGTATTTTTTTTTTTTAAGTTTGACCGCTTGACTCTTTTTTGATGAACTGCGGCAAATACAAGACCAGCATTACAATGAAATGTCAGTCATATTATTGGAAACTGATTTTTCTTTGTAAAGTAATTATAATTGTTCCTTTGTTTCTATTATTGGTCAGGCGAAGTCGGTGATAACTAGTTTTGCCCGGTAGTTTGTGATTTGCTGCACTGAGTGAGAAATGTTAGTTTTATCCAACCTTCTGAAAAATCCAAAAGAAGGACAGGTAGGTGATTATATTTGCGAGCAGGGCTACGTTAGTAAAGAAAAAGGAATCAGAGCCAATATAAGAATCGATCCCGCGACAATAAGGTAGCCGGACGCTTTAGGCGCGTAACTCTGCTGACCTTGACAACCGAAGATGATACATATGGACGGCGACGTATATGTTCGGAACACTATAGAACCTATGTAAAGTACATTAACCTATAACACATGGTTACCTGAGTAAAATGTTGGAACACAATAGAGGTAGAAACTGCATCTAGAGTTACAGTATCGGGTTACTTTTAGAGCGGCTCGTGTATACTGACTGGGGGTAAACACCCAACATACCGCTGTGTGTTCAGAGTGTAGTCTTCCACCAGGATATACTGACCTTCGTATATGGGCAAACTATTCTCAGTAGATTGGCTTACCCATCATAGGTATCTTGGTATACCGTCCTTGGTGTTAGGTAGATTTTGCAGTTGAGCATGCTGTTATTCATTCATTCATTGGGGTGGGAGTAGCCTAATGGTTAAAATGCAGTAAATGGAACGAAACCACTGACAATGTTCCGCAAAAACGACATATCAGTCAAGCAGCATTTTGCAAGTGGAACTACCACAACGAAAATACCATTCATAAATTGTCTGTGATTAGCAGTGTTAGTCACTATCTGTCTCACAGGGACACGACGACAAGTCACCGAGCCTTATCACACCACATGATATTCGCCACGACATTGGTGTTTTATTGGGATCTTCAATATCTCTGCTCTCAGAGAAAGTCTAGAGGTTCTATAAGCAACACAATAGCGACAATAACGTATGATTTTGATTTTGAACATTGCACTCTCAATTCAACAGGTGATGACAGTAAATATCTAAGCGTCCTTCATACGGGGCTGATGAGAGTTGAACGCCGGATCGACCGCGATGGGCCGAACGGCCGGAAGAAGCTGGACAAACTGACCCTGGGTGTGGAGGATGCAGCTCACCACAAATCGACCTTCTCCCTGACAATCATCGTGACGGACATCAACGACAACGTGCCGACCTGTGCGTCTGGTTTCTTCTCCAAGATAATCAACAGGACTACCAGTAGTGGTGGGTACCGTATGTACATCCACGTATAGACCCCCGAACATGCATATTGATTGAAGCCATAGGGAAAATAACACGACAAGTCGAGAGGATGTGAGCTGTTGATTGCCAGGATAGGACCAATGATGTCTGTCCGGTGTCTTCCCATTATGACTACTCCCCAGTACGACTACTCCTCCAATTACTGATTTGTACTGCAATATCACGTGTATACTAAACATAGCATGATTCGCATTAGATGAGTAACTCATTCATTATCAGTGTTTTAATTCACAAGTAACACAGAAATATTCAGTCCAACTTGAGCAGCCTTCCTGCAGCATCTAGGAACTCCAGTGGTCACTTCTGGTTGTTCTGCAGCTGGGTCTTCAGGTTCTGCAGACGGGTGTATTTCTATTGTAGTCAAGTTGGCATGTAGTCATACTTGGGCGTAGTCATAATGGGAGAGAACCGTCTGTCCTTGCAGTGCACGAATGAACACGTTGTCTACTTCATCCATGGATGCACTGCACGTGTAGAACTAGCCGCGTATCCGTTAGACAAGTGAGGTACATAGTCTGAACTTTGAAATGTCACTTAAATGGTTTCCTTAAGGCCCTCTGTTCGTCTATACGTCGAGCCTAAGCTTGTTAGTAATGGTATTCATGCCTGGATATCCTTGGACTGTATGAACCTGTTTACATTATTTTCGGTGTATGAAGGACAACGTGTGGTTTTACTTGCAGATGCCTCCGTTATAAATATCCCTTGCACGGATGACGATGATGGAAGCAATGGACAGTTTTCACTGCGGATAGTTCCAAGGTCACAAAGCAAAGATCATCGGAAACGGTTCAGACTTAAAGCATTCGACCTGTTTGCTGATGTGGATACTCTCCGGAGGGAATCGTCCGGGAAGGAGAGCAGTGTGTACATCCTCACCATCCTGGCAGTAGACACGCCCAAACAAGGCCGAGCAAACACCGGTACAGCTGTTGTTGTCGTCAACGTAAGTTTTGGTACTATCTTAGATGAGAAAGCCGAACAGTTATAATCCCGTTCATCGGTAAGCCCTGCGATTAACTTGAGATACTAATTATTGCGTTCAAGGTAACATTACTGCATTCATCATTTGTTAATTCCGATAAATGCCGCGAGAAATGTACCGTCTGGACTAACAAAGTGTGTTTGTAGGTGTGTGTAGGTCTCGAGTCTCTGGTACACCTTGACATTCACATCCTCTATGTTACACCTGCACATTCTCGCTCTCTCGCGCACACCTGGACGCTCCACTCTCATACACCAGGACACTGACGCCGTCTCTCATACACTGCATTCACATACACTCACGTACATCTGGACCTTCACATACACTCTGATACAGATGGACACTCATACCCGCTCTTATACACCTGGACACACTCTCACCCATCTTTATACACCTGGACACACTCTCACCCATCTTTATACACCTGGACACACTCTCACCCATCTTTATACACCTGGACACACTCTCACCCATCTTTATATACCTGGACACACTCTTACCCATCTTTATACTCCTGGACACACTCTCACCCATCTTTATATACCTGGACACACTCTCACCCATCTTTATACACCCGGACATTCCTCGTCAGATATATCCCAAGATCGTCAGACACGTGACTATCTAGGCACATTGTGTCCATAGCAGATTGTTAGTCGTGCATCTACCTTTAAAAGTAGGCAGGATATGGGAGCCGGCAGACAACGGGAAGAGCACTGACAGACCAGCAGATGGATGCCAGGACAAGGAGGCACGACCACTGACTAGCATGTTTAGCACATCTGTTGCCCAAGTGTCAGTCTGATTTCGCCGCTTGTCCTTTGTAGTGTCTCTGAGAATATTCGCCCGGTTGTACTGCGAGGATGAAACTCCAACACACACACACACACACACACACACACACACACACACACACACACACACACACACACACACACACGCGCACACACACACACACACACACACACACACACACACACACACACACACACACACACACACACACATTCATTGAGCTCTACTACGTTGTTTAAAGATTGCCAGTAGAATACAACAGCATTCACTCATATCACTCAGTAGTATCCATTGTATCGACAGTTCACACATCTGAATGAGTACACGCCACAGTGGAAGTCCCCCGTCCCCGACATCAACCACAACTTCCCCAGTGTGGCGCTACCAGAATCTACGTCCCCGGGGACGGTGGTCAACACCTTAGTGGCTGACGATAAGGACCCGGAGACAGTGGTGACATATACGATAGCCTCTGTAACAGATGGTAGGTACGGCGTTATGCATGTCAAGCCGGTCAGTTAGTGTGTTTGACCAGCAATGTTTGATCACCAGGTATCGTCCTCGTTGCAGTAATACCGTATTCTCTGTAATAATCCCCTGGAAGGTATAGCGGGCTCACAGGTAACTGATTATTAGAGTAATCTGAGAATTGGTATCTGGGAATAGAGTACAAACGCTATTGTTTCAGGCAAATTTTGATAACATGTCCTATAAGGCCTTTATATTCTCAAAATACCCAGTATGTTTTAGACTGTTCAATATTAGTTTTTTTTCACCTTAACATCCATACCGTGTGTTAGACATAGCAACAACGGGTGCCTCGTGACTTTCAATTTTATCTTAACTGGACGCAGTTGTGTCGAGACTAGTCTAACTCAGTGAGCATCACTTTACATTGAAAACCTACCCGTCATTTCAGATAACAGCAACAATATCACCGGACTCTTCACAATCAACTCCAACTCGGGTGAGCTGACATCTACAGGCAAGTTAGACTGTGATCCACAGACGGGAGGGGCAGAATATTATACCATTCTTGTAATGGCGACAGATGGAAAGCACAATATCAGTGGAAACGTCAAAATAATTGTGAAAAATACGAACGATAACGTACCAGTGTTTAACAAATCGGTACAGACGATCAGTGTTAAAGCAGTCAAGAGTGTTGCAGTACCGTTCGTGGACTTTGATGTTTACGACCAAGATAAGTCATCAGATGTTACTTTAGATTTAGAAAAGGGTGACCGTCAGTACTTCCAGTTATCGAAGGAGTCAGCAAAGTGGCAGCTGAAGTTTCAACCAGGAATAGACCCTCAGAAAAACCCCGACATTCCGCCGGTAATCAGGGTGACGGCGAACGACAACGGCGATCCTCCCCTCACCAGTGAAGCTACAGTAGTACTTACAGACCTCCCATGTCACGTGACCACACCCTCCCCGTCATCAGCAGGTACAGTTATAATACAGCTGATTGCGTACACTGACGGAAAAAGGGAAGTATATATTAGAATTAGAAAATGAAACTAGCCTGAAACAGCCTCCGAAAGCTGCAAGTAGTTCTTAGACATATATTTATATATATGTTGTAGCTGAAGTAATCAGCGTGTTAGCCATATATTTATAAATGTTGTTAGCCATATATATTCTGAGTGAGAAATATATATATATATATATGTTTGAATGCACAGCCTAAGGTTTGTTTTTGGTTAACTCCGCACTCAGCAATATTCCAGCCATATGGCGGCGGGCTGTAAATAATAGACTCTGGACCAAACAACCCAGTGATCAACAGCATGAACACCCATCTATTGGGATACGATGACATCTGTCAACCAAATGAGCAGGTCTGACCACCCGATCCCGTTAGTTCCCCCTTACAAGCATGAGTTACTGAATGGGATCTTCACGGGTGACAGATGGATGAAACATCGTCTGTTGCAATAAGAAGAAATGTCAAAGTTAAAATAAATGTATGAAGTTGGGTATTTGTTTCACCAGTTCCTCCGTTACGAAGAAGACGATGTTCCTGGCCATCAACACTGCCGATGACGTCCACACCGCAGATGGTTGCCGGGAAAACAGACAGCAGCAGCAGTTTGTTTGGATCACCAGGTGAGCTAAATGTGCAGTGATACCACAAATAGATGCATGCGTGCGTGCAGGAATTTACAATACACACACACACACACACACACACACACACACACACACACACACACACACACACACACACACACACACACACACACACACACACACACACACATACACACACAGTGCCGATATCCAGTACAACTGCTCAAAGGCGCTTTGTTTTCCCTCGATCATTGGATGTCCATCACAACGGCTCATCGTATTTTTCAATCTCAACTCCCTGCGGAGCATACAACTCTTGCTGCTTACTTTTCGCACCGAGTTAATGTGGCTTTTCCATCCTTACGAAGTACCCATTCAAAGCTGTGTGGACTGGGACGCATAGTCACAGTACTTTGTCCAAGGTTACTGCACGTTGCTGTACCCGCTACTAGGTGTTTGTACGTATACATGTGGCCACCATCTGGTCATATACCAACGGATTCCTGGGTTCTTTTAAGTGCACAGGGTTGTGTACTGTACACTAGGGGTTGTGACAACACTGAAAGAGTCTGCACACAAAGTTGACTCCAAGGATTTTTACACCCGGTCACAGGTGGGCTCGATCCCGGCACCTCCAAGCTCGCTGGATTACTAGCCTGGCGCCTTAGACAGCTCGTCCACCGCTGTAGCATACGCAATATCACACAGTGCATATTTGCTCTATGTTTTGTCAAAACTGTTTTGCATTTGCAACTCCTTGTGGCCTTGGTAAATAAGTAATGGGTATCACACTGTAGCTTATCGCGAAACTGACAATAGAAAGTTTACTTTTGTGTGACAAACATGTTGATTCTAATATGACATATCTAATATGTGTGTCAGGCAATGTCGGTTATCAAGTAGGTAGGTAGGTAGGTAGGTATATACAGTATATGTGTACATCAGCGTACATTGTAAGGATTTTCCTGAATTTACAATGTATGCATCCATTACAGTTTGCCAGCCCTCCAGTGCCTCCCAAGAGGACTCGAAAACTGGACTCTACCTGAAGATTGCCTGTGCTGCAGAAGGTGTCATCATCGTCATGGCAACTCTTTTCATTATGGCCAAGAAGTGTGGCTGGTACGTGGAACACTCCTCCCTCCACCCTCATCAGTACATTATTCTGTTTAAATCTAGAGTCAAAGGTATCTCTTCCCATGCTACAAGGGAATCAGGCAGGAATACTGATGAGGCAGGCCTTTGTGAAATGTGTTCCTCTGTGTGTGTACAATTACATTACAGGTAGCAGGCTCTGATTCGTATAGCTTACAATAGCAGTGAATCTGTACACATCCTATCTAGTTTCTGCTCACGTTATGTCCTCTGTGTATGTACATTCTCTACCGCCATCTCTGTTGTATAACTTAGTTTCCGTTCTTGTGGAAACCTAATGGATACTGGGTAATGTAGGTTTCCGCTAGGTTTCAGTATCCAGAAACAGACAATGCGAATTTCCGCATAGTTTACAAAACTGAAACTTACAAATCTAGGTTTCCGTCAAGTTTCTACAACTGAAGCTATTATTATGCGTTTCCATTTAGTTTCAGTTCGCTGAAACATTCATAGCAAAATGACTTAGTTTCCGCTATTGCGATATACTATTGGATACTGGGTAATGTAGGTTTCCGCTAGGTTTCTGTTGGTTTCAGCTTAGATGAAATGGCAAACTTAGCTTTGTGCTGTTCCATTGGGGACTATAATTACTTACTGTTACATTTGCAAGATAATTTCTATATACAGAATCCAGCTAGGGTCTATGCAGGAAGCAAAAGTGCTGTACGTTCCCGTAGTCCCTAGTATGTTGATCAACCTTCAGGTGTTGGCAATCTATAGCCCATTTTTATACTGTACCGTTAAAGTGGTTATGGTTACATGCCAGTTTTAGTGTGCATTTGTGATAGACTAGTTATTTTACTGTCCTTCGAAGACAGGTAAGTATATAAGTTTGTTTTTATTTCATGTACACATTTACAAATTGCAATTTACGACTTTCATAGTCACTATATGGCTGCCGATGTGACTTTGTAACTCACTCACATACCATGTATGTATGTATGTATGTATGTATGTATGTATGTATGTATGTATGTATGTATGTATGTATGTATGTATGTATGTATGTATGTATGTATGTATGTATGTATGTATGTATGTATGTATGTATGTATGCATGCATGCATGCATGCATGCATGCATGCATGTATGTGAAAAGCCACATCAAGAGGGAATCTTCAGCATTTGAGAACACAACTTCTGTATGAATATCCAAATAATCAATATGTCAAAACACTACAACATTTTATGCATATGATGAAATGAGGTCTACTAGTGCAGGCATAACATACTTGCTGTGGTATTTATTAAACAGATTTCAAATTCAAATTCAATGTTTATTGTATGAAAGGTCATGGGCCCATATACATGAAGTGTACATTTGAAGCTGCCTCAATGTATCTTAACATATACACACTAACAATGTCACATAGTAAAGGCCTGGCAACTTGCTGACAATCATGAAGTTGCACTCATACTGAGCAGACAGCAATCCTCTGATCTGGTACATATGAAGCAGAGCCTGAGTTGAGACATTTGTTTTGCCACACAGAGAAAAGGGAAATATAACCAAGTTGATTAAAACAAGGCTTGAACCAGTCCACAACCGCTAACAGGTGGTGTATGCTCTACTTAAGATCTGTGGGTGAACATGAAGAGTCCTGGTTGATGTCTGGCACAACATCGTTGCCATCCTCATCGTCCCGCACAGACTCTTCATCATCCTGCAAATACAATACATACAATGCTTAGTAAAACTACAAAAACAGCCAAAGTAACACATGTATACATATTCAAAAACATGCACATGGTACATCTGATGACAATGAAATTATAAAATTAGAACGACTAATTTGTAGATGTAACCAAAAGATATTTTTCACAATCACAAAGGAAAGATCTGTAGTATACATGTATTTTGTATTTTCCATTGGACATGTCACTTATTTGATTGATTGGTACCAGAAAATAGTAGCCAACACAGTATTCTGAAGCAAATTGTGGTAATAATAACTACTGTTACTGTACTCATATTCAAGGTAACATCTACTACCAAATCACCAATTGAAATCTAAGCATAGGTAAAACGGTACATACATATTTTAAATAGATAGGAATCATGTTTAAACACTGAATGTAACACCTGGTTATATATGTGATCTTATTCGTATAAAATTGAAATAACCAACTCAACTGAGAAAAGCATACAAAACCTAACATTTCCCATAAATGAAAAATCGTGGGTATTTCTTAGTTTTATCAACCCTCTAAGGAAACATTCACAGCAATATAATAACATAAAATATTATTTTTTAATATGACCTTTACTTTAATTTAAACACAACTTCTGTATGAATATCCAAATAATCAATATGTCAAAACACTACAACATTTTATGCATATGATGAAATGAGGTCTACTAGTGCAGGCATAACATACTTGCTGTGGTATTTATTAAACAGATTTCAAATTCAAATTCAATGTTTATTGTATGAAAGGTCATGGGCCCATATACATGAAGTGTACATTTGAAGCTGCCTCAATGTATCTTAACATATACACACTAACAATGTCACATAGTAAAGGCCTGGCAACTTGCTGACAATCATGAAGTTGCACGCATACTGAGCAGACAGCAATCCTCTGATGTGTAATACAACTTATTCGCTTACAGTTACATATCTGATATACAATAATTAAATATATTCATTATTGATATATGATAGCTAGCAAAGGGACAGATCAAACTGAAGTCGTTAAGTGAAACCTATGAAGTGAAGTATCTTTGACGACTAACCTGATGAGAAACTGCCGTCCATTCCAGACGGATTCCTTGTTTCCTTGAAACAAACGACTGTCAGTGCAGACAGAAAACTGTGTCTTTTTCTTGGAACTGAAAAACATATCAACTTATAATTACACTGGAATCCACGCACTGTTACATTTTGAGTGATTATATTTTTCACAAAGATAAAGAAATTTATTCTATGTATCTATTTAGTGTTTACTTGTTTTTGACTAAATGCTGATGAATAAAAAAAATTGTTTTAAGATTTCGTTTCATGAAATTAGGAGCATGGTATGGCGTAACTATAAATCATTACCAAGCCAAGCCTCTTGTCAATCTCCAACAAGTCAGTGGATCCACAATACGTATCTGTAAATCCAATAATTGAAACAATGATTCTTTTAGAAATGTTATGCGTGACTTGTGTCAATGCATTGTAAGGCTAAGAGGTTTAATAATTGACTACACAAATAATTACACAAAGCTATGAGTGTAAAGTATATGTATGATGGTTTTAATGGTTATAAAATGATAAAATAGATGAACTTAAGTAAACTTATAATACATGAGAATAGTATACGTAGAACTGAAAAGAATGAACATGATATAAGCATGTCTAATACACTTGCATGTTTTGAGCTCAATACGTAAATTACTTATATGATGAAGTTTTACGTCCAGTAGAAATATTTTCGTATATTGCCTACTCCTGACAGGGTTTTGAAAAATCACCTATTTGCCACTAACACAAGTTCTCATGAAGCTCGACCAGGACTTTTAAAGTAACGTGAATATGTTTTCAGAGTTATTCACTGTTAATTATCTCTAGGCCTACATGTTGATGCTTGACACTGAGGAGGAGCAATTAGTGCCCATAATGCGATGAAAAGACCCTTAAGCCCATAACAGCCCACTGTTGTCACTTTGGGTACTCACATTCAATCTGCTCATTTCCGCCTTTCACGGCCCCCTTGATGTCGGCAATGTAAACAAATAAAAAAATGGCGACCGCATCACGTCCACGCGAGACTACCTAAATCATTATAAAAACACACAGCTGACATTTTATGTATATAGTGTATGTTTATTTTGTTGTATAACGCGGAAAGATATTGTCAAACTGTAATGTTAGATTTAGAAAAACAACAAAGTGTTTTTCCCGTGAGTCTTTGCGAGACGCCATTTTCATCACCGCCTCAGTTTCCCTCAAAGCACTGGAAGTGAGAATTCGCGACCTGGAAAAGAAAGATGGAAATGGCTGCGAAAAACTCGCAGTACCACGACCCTGTCAGGTAAGACCAATTTATTTTGTTGTCAAATAACGTTTAATGAATTTTTTACTTTACGTACAGAAATCCGGATTAGTAAACAAGCTAATCTATCGAATTACAGTCACTGGCCATAGGTATTCGTCACTATGCATTGTTTCCATAGACTTACATGTTAATTTGGTGCAGCTAAAAAAATGTCTTGAATTCATATTTTGCACATGGGTCATGAATCATCTCAGCTACAAAGACATAATTTCCGTTTTATTTTCAACTCAGTATTTCAAGAATGACCACACTTTGATTGATGCGTGTCATGGTTATGGCAAATTTTAACATTGCGATCTATTTGGAAAGAATACGCAATGTTGTATATGTGTTGCTCATGTAACTACAATGCGGAACATACTTGAAGGAAATTATGTATCTGTGACCAAGATGATTTCCTAACAACTTGCACAATTTGACAACCAAATATGAAAAACTGAATTAATGAAAATTACACAGCTACACTAAAATAACTTGCAAGTCTATGAGAATTTTGCCGACTGACGTATACTTAAGTCCCATGACTGTATAAACAGTTTTGCTCGAACTATTTTCAAAGGTTGGTGAAGTAAAATAAGTCTATTTAAAAATATACTACAACTTTGAAAAATATAGCAAATAGATTATATATTAATGGATTTGTTCTATTCATTTAGGCTGTTGTGATGAAACACATGTCACGACTACTCCTGGAGGAAAAGATCACCCTCTCTTACTGAAGGTATGTGTTTATGGTACTACGAAGCATAGACATAATTTGACTTTGAATATTTTATTATTATGCTTCCCTAGATACATTTTCACAAAATGAACCATACTAAAGTTACAATTGCAAATGGATTTGAATAATCGGTAACTTAATCATGATTTCAGATTGGACCAAATAAATCTTAACTTCACACCTGTGTGAAATTGCAATCAAACTGACCCCTTGATTTTACAATACCGTAATTACTCCAAGGTTATGTCACATGAGATAACTAAACTTCATTCATCAGGATGTTTATGTCAGGCCGTTCACTTACTGATTGCATACCCTGAAGTGATAAATCTGTAGTTTGCTTGATGGTATAAATGTCGCTGCAATTGTTTAGGTTTT